ATAGAGGACTTACAATAATGTACAGTATTTGAAAAATAATGTGTTTTTTGAACATTAAAGCATGTCAACATATTCTGTTACACCAAATACACAAAATAATGATCTTTAAAAAAAGCATCATATGACCCCTTTAAAGAATCCAGGAGGGCTTCGCGTTTCATAGATGATACCTGGAACAGATCTAAACACTCTACAATGTGACAGAAAGAACATTTTATCTCCAAAGAACTATATAGCTCAACCTAAGGACCAGTGTTGCCAATTTAGCTACTTTGTAGCTAGATTTAGCGACTTCCCTACTTTCAATTGAAAGCAGTTGGCAACACTGCTAAGAACCCAATGGACCTTTTTCACATTTCCGGGTTTCTCAGCAGCGGAAGTCGTCATAGTTGGGTTATCTTGAATAGCAGTGAATGGGAGAGTACCACAAATATATTTTTTGCATTCCCATTTGCTCAAATAGCAAAAGAAAAACTCCACGATAGTGTTTTCATGACTTTCAATAAAAGGAAAAAAATTGAGAGAGACTGATAACGGCTGTCAGAAGAGAGAACGATGTCAAATGTTCCGTCCCTCCCATAGACGCTGCATTAGAAACACCCTCGCATTAACGTTAACTGTTTTTTGTAATTTGATGCAAAGGTGATATAATACAAAGAATAGTGTTATAAATGTACATACATTTAAAATATATATATATATATATATGAAAAACTTTCGAGGATTTACGATGTTGATGACCGTTAAACGCGTCATCACAGTCTTGTGAAAAGGGTCCAAAAACAGTTGTTGATGGAACATTTCTTTCCTCAAATCAAGTTTGTTCACTTCCGAAATGACAGATAAATTCCATTGTGAAGGGCTCATCTGAATGAAGTGATTACAGAAACTTGGGTGTTGCTGTTCTGTGTGACTCAGTGAAACCGGCTAGTCGAGCTCTGGCAGGACAGAGCCAGAATCATCACTAAGTGCTTGTGTCCTGCTTATATATCCTCAAACTATTGTCTTATCATCTAGTATCAGGGTTGTCAATCAGGGGTTCGTGGAGATTGTGTATACATAGATATAGGCACTAATACAGATAATAATATACAATAGGCCTATATATAATATTTTTTCATTTTCATGACATTTCTAAATCTGGGTCTTCAAAGGTTGAAAACCAAGAAGTCAAAAAGAGAATAGATCAAACTGTACGATGTAAAATGTATTTTTCGAAGTAGTAAAAAAAAAACATTATTGGAGTGTTTTACAAGAAAATACTGTTTAATTCTTTCTCCAAATTGTAAGTTTAATTCAGTGTGTTACTTGCCATTTCTTTGTAATTATTTGTGAAATTTACAAGTAGGCCTACTTTCTAAGTGAAAATTGTTTCTACAACAATTTGTTTTTTCAGTGTATAATATAATTTTTGGATGAAATCAAAGTATAATGTCATTTTTGGACTGGGTTTCAGTGCAGAGTTTATAAATGCTATTAATAAAGTGTTCAGTTTTATGACTGTTTTTTCTATGCTACACTTTTATCATCCTAATCGTATACGGTAAAATGATAACAATAAAAATAAAATAAGCACATATGTATTTCTGTGTACTTTACATCTCTCAGGGGTTGACATTCAGTGTGGTAAAGTACTTTACAGAAACCCTTGTACAAACATGCATTATAGTTAGTGCAAACACTTCAAATAAACAAAGGTGGTTGTGACTCCACAAAAATGTGAAATATGTTGCTAATAAATCAGGCTCAGAGCGTAACTTTGGCCTGTTTTGTGACATCTTGTTAAACACAATAATAGTATGTTAAATAATGAGATGATACATCCCTGAAAGTGCTTTGAAGCCATTCATCATTTTTAGATAAACTTGCTCTTGGTTATTATGAATATTATATTATATTAAATATTTGGATAACTGAGCATCTTCACTTAAATACTTCTCAAATGCCGTAGGTTCGGTCTTAACCAATCAGCAAAGAGCAAATTTCTTTGCCACATTACATTTTAGAAGTGTATAAAAATCACCAAACAAAGGATAAACTACAGTAAAGCTATACAAGCAATCAGAACACGGAGTAATTTAGGAAATGAATCATCAGTGGCGCATCAGATAAATGCAGTGTTGTTACACATAGATTCCCTGTGATTTGGTCTTATGAATGTCTAATGCCTCAGAATTATATTAGTTTTTATTGGCTTAGGCAGCGATAAACTACTTAAACTCATAGAAATAATCAGTTTCTTAGACTTAAGCATCTTGAGTTGTACCTAACAAATTCATTCTGCTATACTGTAAATGACTGCATATGTGTTACATAACATGTTATAAAGTGTTCTATTGCATATTAAAGGGATACTTCACCCAAAAATGAAAATCTGTCATCATTTATTCACCCAGAAGTTGTTCCAAACCTGTATGAGTTTTTGAGCATTAAAGAAGTTATTTTGAAGAATGTTTGTTGCCAAACAGTTGACGGTAGCCATTGACCTCCATACATTTTTTTCCATACTATAGAAGTCAATGGCTACCATCAACTGTTTAGTTGCCAACATTCTTCAAAATATCTTCTGTTGAGCAGAAACGCATACAGTTTTGGAACAACTTGAGGATGAATGATCCCTTTTAAGTCTGACTAGATTTTTCTGAATATAGTTTGAGCAGAATTTGCTTCCATAATCTTATTAGGGTGTTCTGAGTGGTTGCCAAGGCATTGCTTGCGGTTGCTAAGGTGGGCTGAATGAGTTTTGTTGCTCAAACCTTTGACCCTGAGTATGAACAACAGTAAATTGATGTAGTTTATTCCTGACCTGTCTCAGTATGTCCACTAGAGCACACCAAACACTAGGTTTTCTTGATCTCTATATGATGCAGGGAACTCTCTTTATTTGCTCTTCCATAATTACTCCTCCTACTGTCCTACAAACACTCACTCAGTCTGGAAATATGAAGCTGTACTTTATTCCTGACAATTATTCTTGACAGCTCTCTTTTGAGTCAGGATTACGTTCAGTGTGCGCACTTCAAGATAGCCTACTCGGTGCTGTCTGGATGAACTCATGTGTGACATCTGGGATTCTTTTATTTGCATTATGGTATTTTTTGGTTTGGAGTGATGCTGGTCTGTTATATAATGGCATGGGGACACTCATAGGCTGGGAACATTTGAGTTCATGAGGATCAGGGGTCATTGTGAAAGAGAGAATCTGATCATGCATTAATGTGTCAGTAACATGCATCAGGACTGACAATTAACAGGATTACTACCCAATTAAAACTGAATGAGACATCATGCTGGGGAATGGAGGGTTATATACTGTGAAGAAGAGGAAGAGACCTGCTCACAAGAGGTAAAAAGTTCGTTTAAAGGAGTGTATTTTATTATTTTGTCAAGGCTACGATTTTCACAAGTGGATTTTAAATCTAGGGGGGGGGGGGGGGGGGGGGGGGGGTGCAGTGTTGCCAAGTCCATGGTTTTCCCACGGGTTGTTTTTCATGCAACCCCAATAACCTGATATTTAGCCAATGGAAAGCGATTTTTACTGGGGGAGCCCCCCTCGGAAAGCCATTGGGTGAGTTTTTAGGCTTGTTTTGAGTAGCAACTGGGAGGGTTTTGTTGTTTAAACCTGGCAACCCTGGCAGATTAGAGTGGGAGGGGCTACATTTACAACAAACACACACGCGTGGTTCCTGAACTGTCCAGTCAAAAATGTAAATGTAATGTATTCCAATGAAAACTACAAGAAACAAGTATCGTGTGCATGGTGGAACATACCATTACATTTAAAAAAGTGACTCGAGCGCAATGTATTCAGATTTCAGGTCCAAACCCCGGAATGTGTTTATTTGCATATCTATAAACTCAATAACATCGATTGGACAAATGTTGACAATTACATCTGCTCCGGTTTTTTTAAAACCCTCAAACGCAAAAATATCACCTTTTAATGCGCTTGTCGCCGCTCGATAGGCGATTAACCAAACGCTGCGCGTGAAAGTTTCTGTGATTATATAGAATTAATATGTAATTATCTAAGAATCCTGCTATTGCAAACGCTTTACTGGTAGAAACTAACCTTTTCAAGACTGCTGGTCAAAACTGTTTAAATGCAACAAAACCGCAGAAAAAACACCCTTTACTCACCAATTGCAAACATTTTATTGAAAATGTAATGTACTAAATGTAATTACAAATCATCAAAAACCATTAAATATGAAGTGTCTGTCTAATATGCGTTTCTTTTATTTAATTTGCATTGTTTTGTTTGTTTTATGGAGAGCTTGGCTAAAAAAACTATTAACTACTATCCCTGAAAGCACAGGTACATCACGGAGATGTCTGTTTGACGTCTGCAAGACGTATTTTTTAGAGTGTTTTTTCATCTGCAATATGTCTATAGGACGTTTACTATCAGATGTTAAATAGACGTTTAGAAGAGGTCTTTAAGATGATTTAGAATGTATGTAAAACTGACATCTTAAAGATGTCTATCAGATGTTTGTACACAGCAGATGCTTTCCAGATGAAGCGATCTTTAACAGACATCTTGCAGACCTACCTGTGCTATCTGGGTTAGTCGATGTAAACAGTGTTTTATTTGGTTTCAAATGGCCTTCTGTGTGAACTGTGCAAGTTACATGGATATGAATTCTCAGGCCTGTCCACTGACTGTTCTTATTCTTGTAGTTGTGGCCTTGAGACTAAACATGACGACGGCACCAAATCAAACCCTTCAAAGCGTCACAGAGACCGGCTGAACGGGGAGCTGGGCAAACTGACGGCTCTTCTGCCGCTGCCAGAGGAGGTCCGAGCCCGACTGGACAAACTCAGTGTGCTCAGACTCAGTGTGGGATACCTCAAGATCAAAAACTACTTCACTGGTGAGTCTCAGAGAGATTCAGAGACATCTGCCTTCATGTCATGAAGGTCTGTGTATTCAGGGGAATATGTGAGTCGTGGAGGTCAATGCATTATAAATGAAACTGTATTAATGAGTCTTTAGAGCAGGTGGCAGGTGCTGATTTTGTTCAGTGGTAACAGGAGAGCAAACTGACAGCATCATTTGCAGCTGCAGTCGTGCGGTATGACTTAGGTGGCATAATGATCCTTGCATTACCTTCTGCACAGCTATCAGAGTCCCTCTCAATGTCAGAGTAAAATAAAACATTTTCAAGAAATGAATGGATCATAAATTAGTTTGATTTTTCATAAAGAAAGTAAAGAATGTTATTGGGACCATTACGGTTTTATTTTTGGATGAAACATTATTTTCATGACAATTAAGCACATTTATACCCTCAATTTTTAGGCTACTGTGAAATTGTTGTTCTGTGAAAGTTCTGTATTGACGGGAAACCCGTCGAGCAGGTTATAATGTTCTGCTCCGGTTTTCAAGGAAGTTTGCTCATCTCACTGCCAAAGAGTTGAACAGACGTTTGTTTCTCTGTGTAAAGCAATTGTTCCTTTCTGTCTGTGCCATCACATGTTCGCATGCATACACGTTCGTAACTGCATATATATATATATTATATTTTGCTGTGCATATATGCAACAGTACATATCGGATTTCAACCGTTTTCTGAAATGTATTGTAATACACTGTAAAAAAAAATTCTGTAAAATATACAGTAAAAAACCGGCAGCTGTGGTTGCCAGAATTTTACCATAAAAAATACGGTAGTGACATTTTTGGTTTTACGGTTTTAACTTAAATTTACAGTTAAATACCGTAATTTCATTAACTGATATAATGTTAATATACCAACCTATTGAAGTACTGAAATCTGTTTTGTACCTTTGTAATCCACTGATAATCACCAAATGCAGGCGGTGATGAGAAAGTCACATGATGAACCAAAGCCCATCACAAGCAGCTTTTAAATAATA